ATCCCGCGGCTATATTTCTAAGCCCAAATCGCAGATAATTTATGAGAAACGTGAAGGTGTATAAGACTTCAACAATTAACATAATGATATCGGAGAGGTACGTTTAGACGGTGGAGAAGGGCAAGGGATGGCAAGAAAAATGGAAGTCGAACACAAAATTTACGTTTGATAAATACCTTGCTTAATTTATTTTCTGAAATATTTCTATTCTGTTCATAGAAAAATAACGTCTGTAATATAGTAAGAATTGTCTTCTACGTCTATCTACAAGTATCTGTTCGCCTTAGATCTTGAAGTGCGAACNATTGTTCTTAAAAGAACATCAGGAATGCTGAGAGGATTGGAGAGGTCCACTTGAATGTCCCGATTCTGCTCGTACATTGTCATCCCTGCTGCAAATTTATTTGATTAAATATTTCTGTTGTTTCCACAAAAATAATGTCTTTAACAAAGTGTTAAACATTTTCTTCTTCGCTTACCTATAAATATCTGACCGCCTTAATTTTTGAAGTGCCGACACCATGTCATTGTTCTTAAATAACGTCAGGAATGAGGATGCGATTGATAGTTCCACTTGACTATCCCAATTCCTCTTGTCGACGCTCGTACAATGCTATCCCTACTCCGAATATTCGGTTGATGGTGGGCTCCTCTTTGGTTGATATATCTGGGTGACAAAGATTATTGTTCCAGCACCAATCATCCGCTTCTTTTCTTGAAATTAGTCTGGCATAATCGGGGACGTCCTGCTTGTTGCCAACAACGACGAAAGGGAACGTATCGGCATTAATAATGTTCGCTTCTTTCTTGAACTTGGATATCCAATACGTCAAGTTTTTGAAACTACTCAGATCGCTTGCTAAACACACCAGAAGACATATGTCGACGTCCTTGTACTCTTGTAGTACTTCTCCAAATTCTTCAACGGAGACTGTGTCAAACACGTTCAATTCGTATAGCTTGTCTTTGAAACCTACAGAGTTGCGCATGATTCCTTGGCTTATAATTTCGCACGTACTCCCCACGAATTTCCGTGCAGCTGATGTTTTCCCTACGCCCCGATCGCCGAGAATTAATACTTTTATTTGCACACGCTCGTTGCAGCTTGAGAGGTCTGTGCTTGCGGACGACATCTTCGACGTATTCTTCGAACTTGTGTTTCGTACTGGTATGTCGTACAAGTGTTTCGTACCGTGAGCGGACTAAAACTGTCTTGTTTCCGTCGCGAGGCCCTTATATAGGCTCGGGTTAGTAGGGATGAATTTCCGCTTTAGGATATTTCGAAATCTTTATATTTTGACCAGTGAGGTAGCACGTCATCAGGTCGACATCTTTATATATTGACCAGGTGGTGCCAAGCCATTTTCTATTATGCACGGCAATCAACTGAGGAAAAGAAAACTGCGAATTTTATACGCTTCGAAAAAATAAATGGACCTTTCGCTTTTTTTCCACGAAACGTAATCGCTATTTAACGATTCGTAAATCAGTATTTAACTATTATTTAACGAACGTTACGTAAAAAAAGAGGGAAAAAGGAAAAGAAAAAAAAGAAAAAAGAAACAATCGGTCTATTGTCCACTCTTCCCTTCTTTTTCTTTTTACGAAACATCGTTAAATAATCGTTAAAATAAGATTGAAGAATCGTTAAATTACGATTACGTTTGGTAAAAAAAAAAAGGGAAAGATGCATTTGTTTCGATCGAAGGGTACAAAAAAAGGGAAAGATCTATTTGTTTTGTTGAAGGAGTATAAATTACGAAGTTTTTTTTTCCTCGGTTTAGTGCTGTGCATAATAGAAAATGATGTGGCACCTTGAGAAGATTTAGCACAGATTTCTCAAAGAGGACCAGTTTCTTCTTAAATAAATTATATATAATAATGTTACGCTCGCGCGGGGAAATAAAACGAAACAACGTTAACAAGAAAACAACTTCAACCATATTTACTATTTACAAGGGAACACACGTTACTCGCAGAGTTAAGCTCTCTTTT